AAAGAATAAACCAATTTTATTAAGTAAGGACTTGTGTCGCTAAAGTTTCGTTGGAACAAAGTTACGGAAAATCAATTAACAAACGGAGACGTAACAATATAAAAAATTTGAGAAAAACAAAGGACCTATTGGTCCACCTAGGCTGTTCCATCCACTAAATAAAAACTCAATGCTGTCCCTTATCATTCAAATATTACCAATCTTTCCGTTAACCACATCTTTAAAACCAACCTTTAAATAAAAACAACTCCTAACCTGCTAAAATACATACTTCTGTCCCCTAGTTCTACCATTCTCAGCATAAAGTTATGAAAACAATTATGAATCAATATTAATTCCCTTAACAATATTGTAGATTTATTGTTAACTTCAAATATAGAAATGATCAAAAGGGTAGAAATTGGGGAAAATCTGGGTGTAAGTGATCATTGCTCTATTAGGTTTGATGTTTTGCTACACATGGAGATAAAGAATAATGATATTTTGGTTACAAATTTCAAAAAAGCAAATTTTGAAGGAATGCCACAAGAATTATATGTTGTGAATTGGGCAGCTGAGTTATTTGGAGACACCGATCGGATGTGGAAAATTTTTAAAGATAAATTTTCAAATATTCAAGGTTAACATATTCCTTACATCAATGAGAGGTATAGATCCAAAGACTAGAATAGAGGAACCACACCACCTCTGAGTCAGGTATACTCTTTGCCATTGCATAGATTGTGAGGTGTAGAGTGGCTAGGATGCAGTGACCCATACTTGGTAAGTCAACTACATCCAAAACTTTCTTGTATGGTACTGACATCCACGCGAGGGTAGGATAAGGATCATCTTCACCTCAAACCCAAGAATCAGGGATTAAGATCAGCACCGATTTCTGGGTATGCAACAAGGATCATCACCAATCTATAGATCTGGGAATTGATATTTGGTATTGCATGGAATCAACTTCCCCACCTGTAGCACGGACCGACATCATCCAATCGCAATAACATCCCCATAAAAAGAGAATGAGGGATAGTCAAGGATAGCACTGGAACAATCCCACGTACCACTGCTGTGACCAAAGACACAGACAGAGCAATTGGGGAAGATAAACAACCTGAACTCGTGTGAGGACTTATGTTGATTGGTTCACTCTAATTTAAAACCTCAATGATGGGAACCGATTTCCATGCAAAGGTAGGATGAGGTCTCCCAATTGAAGGGGTGAACTGCAATTGTGATGACAAAAGGTGATGGCTCAACTCCAGTGGGTATGTAAGTGTTAGCAGAAGGCCACATCAATTTTTGTCCTCCACAACCCTGGAGAAAATGCCCATATCAGAGTAAGAAAAGACCCCATGGTGAACTTGCGAAGTGCAATGAAGCAGTTGAGGTGAGATAAATCAATTACTGGCCTCCAATCCCTGGTTTTCTTAGGGACAATGAAAAAATGGGAATAAAAAAAAAACCTGAAGGATAGTGGAATGGTTCAATTTCTTGCTGGAAAAGCAAATCTCAAACCACCTCTGACAGATGCTGGCAGGCCACAGGATCTCGCGGAGGAAGAAAGGAGGAAAGGCTGATGTTACTCAAGGCTCGGTAGTTTCTGGGACTGTATCAAAGACATAATGTTTAAGAAAAAGTGCAAGATGTGAGTCCCTAAGATATTTAGAGGGTAAATTGAGCCAAGCCAATACTGCATCCCTACCTATAAAGTCCCAACAACAAAGGACGAAATGTGGGCTAATTTGGAAGTGAGAAGGTGAAGGGTATCTGCAGAAAACCTCTCAGGATTTCTGTTGAGAGCCTCTGATAAGAGATGTGTGGAAGAAAGATACCATAGAAGGTTAGTTTGGATAAGACATAGGCAAGAATATTGGGCATGGGTAACATTAGATTTGGGAGCTACCCCCAAATAGGTAACAATGAACCCAACAACTGCTGATCCAAAAATGGAAAGTCCACACGATGGTAAGAAAGGGCATACTGATAAGAAGTCCTTGGGGGTGCAGCATGCTGATCCCCTCACCTAATTGTGAGACAAATTGATCCACATGTACCCGAATATCAGAGGAGGAAAGAAATCCCAAAATTGGTTGAGAAGATGGCTCATGTAACAAGGAAGGACAAGGTGAATAAGAGACAGGGGAAAGGGATAAAACATCACAAACCTAAGACACAAAATCCGTGAAGACCAAATTAGGCCTGGTGATTCCTCAAGTTGCAATTGGGAAGAAATGGCAAACTCTGGAGGTGGGAAAAGATGACCAAAATCCTCATCATTCTGAGCAATTTCAGCCAAATAAAGAAGAGCCTGGGCAATGTCAGGGAACAAAGGTTGACCTATGTAGCATTTAATCTCCCGATGTATAAAAGCAGAGAGATCACTGTCCGATTGCCACACCTGAGGCCTGAGAAAAAAAAACACTGGTTATTGGTATGACCACTGAAGTGGAAACGTGAACTTTGGAATACATAACTCCAGAAAATGTTCACAAATTGTTGAATGCAGAATTATAGTGACAAAAATAAACTACTTCGTTTGAGAAAAAAAAAGTTTTGTCATACTGGAAGCACTAAGCACACAAAAGAAGACATCTGAACTCAAATGCTACCAAACAAGAAGTGGAGGTTTAGTAGAGGAGTGTAGAGGGGACCACATGCATCATTTGAGCATGTTATGCTACTATTGGTTAACAGATGATGCATGAATATTTGCATGAGAGACATGTTGGAAGATAATAATTCCAACAAGGGGGGAGCACAAGGCTGGTAACATGCATAAAAAAAAAGTTTGCATATAGAGAGCACCCCTGAATGAGAATAGCTAATGTTGTGAGAAGAGGTAAGTACTAATGAAGATTTAAGCAGTATTCCATACCTTAAGCACTTGGTAGATGGAAACAAGATTGAATAAGGTGACTGAATTAATTCTGAGCTGGTTAAGAAAAAATGAGGAAGTTTAAAGAAGGAAAAGGCTCCTAGACCAGATAATATTTCCCCAAGGGTTTTGAAGGAGGTTAAGGATATGTAGTGGGCAGGTACCAGAGGATTGGAAGTTAGCTAATACCACTCCTCTTTTCAAGGGAGG